ATGGAAAATTACATGCGCGAAGCCCCCACCTTTTCTCTTCACAACGTGTGTGTGTGGGGGACTCCCCCTTCGATTCTATTGGCTCTAACGGTCAGAAAGAGGTGTCAACCATCAAAATCGAGCAAGGGAAGCCAGAGATATGGAAAATCCACCCAAATGACCCCAGAAGTGGTTTCTTTTTGCTAAATCTCTCTAAAAAGGTCAAATGTCACTTGTTTTGCATCAATCTTGATACAGGGTACTTATTATATGTTGTACTTTGGATTCCTAAAGCTTTTAGTCTACTAACCCATCATCCAAGGGTGGTTTTCACTATAAGTAAAAAAGAATTTTAGACGGACACTATAATTTACAGTTTTTTACTATGTAAAATCTGAATTTTCTTTAAAATAAAAAACATCTATATTGATTCTGACGTTTCTACATCCAACTCACAGGTTTATCATTACTTTGAGAAAAAAGATTATTAATTTAACCCTTTTAGAAGGGAAGATATGGTCATTTGTTCTGGGAATGTCATTTTCGAGCCTGAGACCTGAAAAACAGGCTCAGGGCTTAACAGGTTAAGGAGAAGGGCCTTAATCGCCTCATATTTGCCATGGCGTGGGGGGTCTGCGATAAATCCAACCAACCTGGACGACGTGGAGCTTCCCAGCGCTGCTACCACGTGGAAATATTTAAAGTCCCCGTCACGGACTTGTCGGCAGGCAAAGTGTGCCTCCACGTGTGCGAACCACGCCGCAGCAGCATGCTCCCAAAACTCCAGCAGCTTAACAAAAACATCGCGATCAGCCATGTTCATTAAGTCTTCGGAAACTTTCACGAAAACGTCAGGGTCACCAGTGTAGAGCCGATGAAAGGGAGTCAGAGGCGGTGTGTTCAGTATGGAACTCCACACTTTGTTATCCATTAGAAAGAAGACAAGGTAAGTACATCTGCTTGTTGCTACTTAAAGGGGACCTATCATGCAAAATGCACTTTTGTACGTCTTTTATACATGAATATGTGTCCCCGGTGTTCCAGGGAACTCACCAAGTGTCAGAAAACACAACCCTCTCTATTTTCCTCCATACCCAAATCTCTAAAAAAGGGGCTGCAACAGATCTGATCAAAACTGATCCAGATTTGAACACTTTCCTGACGTCAGTAAAGTGGCGCTACGGCTATTGGGCCAACTCTCCACCTATCAGGGGAATGTGGGGTTGGGCCACGGCCGGCCATTGCCGCTCGAAAGCGCTGGAGACGCTGTAGTACATATGCCAGGCCTGCAAGTGGCGCTGTAGTCTGTCACAAAAGCAGTGAAGAAGACTTCCCGCACATGGTTACTATGGTTACCCTTCTGTTTATTCTCCGCTGTGGCTTTCTTTCTCCCTCCCCGAGGCAAGCGTTTGCTCCCGCTGCTTTAATTCAATGCAATCCCTCCCCGTCGAGGCAAGCACTGTAATTCTCTCCGGTTAGTCCACCAGCAGATGACAAACACCCACCTCTCCGCCTCTTCCAAGGAACGAGGGGACCGTGCGGCAGAGTTTCAGTTTCAGTTTCTTTCGCCGGTCAAGATGTCCGTTAAAGTTTAAATCTTCCCGGACAAAATTAGAAAAGTGCCGGTCAAAGGTCTTCTTTGTTATTTATTGAGCTTTAAAACAAATGAATAACGACTCTATAGGCCTATAATAATATAATAAAACACGGAGGACGGAGATCTTTTTTTCTCCCCCTCTTGACTTGATCAGAGCACGGCTCCCCTCTCCTGCAGGGGGGCGTGGTCAGCTGCAGCTCACAGAATCAGACCCGTGCAAAAACAGTGCTGGAGAACAGCAAATAGAGCGAAATGAGGCATGGCTAAAATGCATGATCCGTTTGGTATTTTGAAAACAGAAACGTATAAATATACCTTATATGTGACCTGCTCTATCGAAATCAGTCGCATTGACCCGAAGACACATTTTGAGTTGTATACACTGTTGGAAAGAGGAGATTCCTAGCTTTCTAATGATATCAAGATTTTTGTTGTACTCCAAATATTAAGCAAAATATGTCACATTATATAATGACTGTCACAGAGTCATCATTTTGAGAAAAAGGCCTTCAAAGTTTCCTCTTCTCTGGAATCCATCGATCTGATTGATTATTAGCGGAGCAAATGATCAAAATAGTCCGGAGGGAACATATTTCCGTTTGGATTAGTGGTCTGGGGGAAGCTCGCGAGTGTGTGAGTGTATGTGTGTGTGTGTGTTTGTGTATTTTTGCGTTTGTGTATATTGTGTTTGTTTCCCGGGGAAAACACTCACGAGAAACACCGGCTGTTGTTATGCTTGCTGTGACGTTAAGTTACTCCGTTCTCCGCTTGTAAATATGCCGTTACAAGCTTCATAGTTGTATTTATCATCTAAATTTGCCGAAACAAGTTTAATATTCTGAAAGCCAAGACTTTGTTTAATTGAAATCAGATGAAAACAAACTGTAACGGACCCTGCCGTGTTATCTATGATTACTATATGCCTTACATTCATAATTTCAGCCGGAGGGAGGGGGAGCTGCGCTACGGAACAGCAGATTGCGATTGAGAGGTGCCTGTCATCTTCCCTTTACAAGCTTCACAAATGTATTTATCGTGTGATTTTGGAAATAAAAGTTTCATATTCTGAAAGCCAAGACTTTGTTTATTTAAAATCAAACAAAACACCCGAACCCCGAAAAAATAGTTTTTTCCGCAAATCCACGTTTATTTTCAAATGAGCCGTTGCGACTTCCGACTGATTTCGATAGAGCGGGTCACATATAGGTATGGCCCTACAATATATCATTTAAATATAGCATGATAGGTGTCCTTTAAGCTAGCATGAATGACACCAACCCCGGTACCCTCACTAACGGGTCCGTGTTGCAACATAATATTCCCAACGGTGAATTATGTCCCATAACGTGTCACCACAATACATATATTCTGTATAGAACCTGTAATGCAAAATCCAGAAATATGTAGATATTATCCTATATCAGTATTATAAATATTAATAAAAATAACCAAGTCACAATAACGGACCGTCCACACAGCAGCGTTAAAAAAATCTTGGAGGTGGGCGTATCTGAAGCTTGGGGATTTTTTGCGAGCAAGGCACCAACAACCTGCATGAATCTCCCGCCCCCGACATACGAAGCAAAAAAGTTTGAAGTAAACTGGATATAAACTCCCCAAACAGGCGAAAATATACCACTGTCTCTGCCACCTTCCTCCATGCCTGGCTCCTCCGGTTTATATCCCGGTAGGTAAATAGGGACTGGTCATAAAGCACCGGGTGATTCCCTACCGCTAATTTCTCCTCCATTTTTTGGAATATGAGGAAATGACCTGCGGTATGTCTCTCCCAGCATACACGCGGTTTGTTGGCTAGCGCTTGAACTGTCAGATTTGCATACACGGGATTTGATTGGCTGACGCTTCCACCTCAGCTTCAAAAGTTGAACATTGCTCAACTTTGAATCCTGAAAATCCTGAAAATCTCCGCTCGCCTGCCCACAATGCAGTTCAGTGAAAAGTGAGGCAAAGTGACGTCACCCCATTCAAAGTGAATGGGCAGAAGCGTTTCAAGATTTTGTAACGCTGCTGTGTGGATGGTCCGTTAGGCCTCTTATCCACACACAAATCCCACCTTAATAACATCACGCAACCAGCAAGCAGGATCAACCTATGGAAATTGAATATAAATAAAGGTAAAATTCGACATATCAACAAAACCCATAACAAGAACCCTGAAAAATTGTTCATAAACATGGTCTTTTATAAAATATGTTGTGCATTTTCTATAGGGAGATACAATAGACTACTACAGCAGATAAATAAATCTTCATGAGGCCAATAGAGGCTCAACTCCCTCCAGAGAGCCACATACATTGAGAATGTGAGGATTTTATGGGATAATATGGGAACATTGTGTTACTATTATCAACATGTAACAGCAAAAAAGGCTGTATATTGATAGTCAGTAAAGAACAAGATGCAAGTGGTCCAGATAAACAACATAAAATGAATCATTAATTACCATAAGAACACTGTAGGTGCCAAGGGTTCTTGTTATAGCTTTTTTTTTTAATAGTCTAATAAATATAAATTCATTGCCAGTGTTATCAGTTGCAAGTGTGTATTTGTTGTAATAATGACGAAAACATAATACATGTCACAGTAATTATAATAAAAACGTAGCTCATGCACGATAAGGGGTGTTGTACGAGATTAACATATCTATATTGCACGTGATGAAACAGACGCGTAGTTCAGCTCAATTATCGACGTAGTGTGTGTGTGTGTGTGTGTGTGTGTGTGTGTGTGTGTGTGTGTGTGTGTGTGTGTGTGTGTGTGTGTGTGTGTGTGTGTGTGTGTGTGTGTGTGTGTGTGTGTGTGTGTGCAGTGGTGTAGTGGGCGTTGGACGCGGGGGTACGCCGTACCCCCACTTATTTGAGGCATGATTTTTCTTTATAATAGTCTAATAAATATAAATTCATTGCCAGTGTTATCAGTTGCAGGTGTGTATTTGTTGTAATAATGACGAAAACATAATACATTTCACAGTAATTATAATAAAAACGTAGCTCAAGCATTTATACAACTTGATTTGAAGCGTGTGTGTGTAGGGTGACCAGGTGCCCCGCTTTGTGCGGGACTGCACACACAGCATTTTTATTATTTGTCCCGCGTCCCACAAATTGAGACTATGTCCCACATTTGAGTGACAGTCGCGCAGAAAGGCCGGCTCGGTTCGCTGACGGCCGGCATCGCCCTTTATTATTATATTGTCTAAACGGCATCATGTAAATTGCGCTGACAGGCGACACAGAGGTCCACAGTGTACCCCCCCCCCCCCGCTGACAGTTCACGAGCGCGTCCATAGTGTCTTCCACCCGCCCCCCCCCCCCCCCGCAGTAAAAAATCCCCACTGCGTGTGTGTGTATCACACCGGTGTTAAATGGTGGTGTGTCACTGTTTCTTTCCGTTTGTCTCTTACCTCTGTTTGCTCGGCACCCGATGGAAGCAGCTGGCTCCCCAATAATAACAACAATAAAATCCAACAAATGTATCCTCAACAGCCGCAAAAACGAAGCTGATACACGGACCGTCTGTGCAGGAACACCGGCTGCGTCGTTTGGAGTGATCAGAGTGGGAAAATGTGTAATCCAGAAATGATGCCTGTAAACGCCTCCCTTCGCCGCACGCAGTTTCTTTTTTAAGCACGGCTTCAAACTGATATCCTGCATTCATTCGAGGTGGAGCGATGCGATGTGGGAATATTTGTGAAGGCGTCGGCTGCCCATCACCACCTTCACCCTTAAAATAATCACCACCGGCTTCTCTGTGAATGCAAATGTTTTTCTTCAAGCTGTTTGCAGGCAGCTTCTCCGCCCTATCACACGGCACAGTGAAGAGGAGCAGGCGACAGGAGCGGCAGTCATCTGCTTACCATGATTCATAGCTCAAACTGTGAGGTGTGTAATTGTTTCAGCATCAATAAAAAGGAGAGAAAAACATAATCTCCCTATTTTTCCTGCAACAACAAAAATAAAAACACATTCAGGTGTGTGCGTGTGTCAGTAACTATACAGAGACAGTCAAAAGACTGTCACGGCATTCATCACTATTTTTACAAACCACACAATATCCGGATAAGTAATATACAAATTATCAGTTAATAATAACCAAGAAAAACAAAACCATGAGCACAGAACACTTCTATGAAGGTAGGTATGGTGCAAAATGCGAGAGCTTGTCAAACCTGATGTGAGCACTTGCAGAAATACATTTACACTTGTATACAAAATCCACGTATCTGTGAACCAAATTTGAAGTCACAGAAAAAAAAAATAGTTTTGCAGCTTGTAGAAAAAAAATGAATTTAGTGATTTTTTAAATATATTTTCCATTACAACTGCAACTTGGTTATTACAACCTCTCAAATCAGTCATTACAATGTCACGAATCTGCTCTGTGGCAGGATACATCGACAAATCTGCGGCCATGACTTTTGCTACACTTCTTGCGATGAAAGCCAAAGTAATTTTCACCTGTAGATGTGGGGGGAGGAAGGGGGGTTGGAGCGAAGGGGCGGAGCTATCAGAACGACGAGGCGCAAGCGGGTCACACAGCCATATAGTCAGGTCCAGCGCCATATAGATAGAAGAGTTACGACAGCGGAAGTCCAAAATGCTTGATCGTCACGTGGTTCAGGGAGAGTCAATAGTTCCCCGGAAGTTCATGGCGGGACATATGAATGCATGATTACCGGAGATAGAACTACGATTTTTGGTAATAAGTAGTGAATAAAGGTCTTGATTTGCAATATTTATACAACATACCGATATGTGTATGTATTTACATCAATATGTTTTAAAAAATAAATAGAATCTGCTAATATTTATGGATAATATTAGGAATAGTGTGAACAGCTAGTTTACTTGTTAACATATACATGTTAGGCTGTTGCCTTGGTTAAAGAGCCTGTTGCTGTTGTGTATTGCTTTGAATTATTTAAAACAAATATTATCTTCTTAAACAGGTATGGTAGTCAGGAGCATCACTTCCTAATGTTTATTGATATATTTAGAGGGAGGGGATGGCAAGGAATGCTTCAAAATTTAGATTAGATTAATTTCTACCATTTTTTTTAATTCATGGTGGTTTCAGTAATGACATAAGTAATCTAAATGACTAATGTCATCTTTATGACTATCAGAAAGGACAGGAGACCAACAGGTGACTATCAATGGACTAGCAGCAACACGATTATGACGTTAAAAGTGTTGTTTTAGGAACATCCATTGTAAATACATGGAATTCAATAAACATTGAATAGCATGTCATGCAGTTTGTCTGTGCCTTTTCCTCCGTGTTGTCCTGGCATATCGTCTCCACCATGGTTTGCTGTGCTGCCTGGGGATGCTCCAATCGCTCAGAGAAAGGAGTAAGAATCAGAATGTACGGCTTCCCCACTGACACAGAGAGGAGGGAAAAATGGCTAGCTCAAGTCAGCAGGAGCAATTTAACAATCAAAACAGACAGCCGCAACAAAATATGTGAGGTAATCATATTCAAACACTGCATTTGCACTTTTTCCACAAAACGAAGACCACACCATTGGGAAGCTTAATGTTTGGTTTAATACAAATAACAGGGAAAGGCTTGAAAAACTCCGAGAGTTGAGACTCAGGGTGCAGGGTGAGGGTCTCAGTGCAGGTATTCAGGCTCTATTGAATCCCCCTCTGGTTCTTGTGCTGAAAGAGGGAGAAACAGACAGGAGAAAGGGTTATACACACCTATATAGCACACCTATTGGATGGGAAATTGCCTTGGGGAGATAAGGTGTGGTCTTTGTTTCCAACTGAAGTTATGGAACTTTATTATTTGTGAGTTTAACAAAGTATGACAAATGGCATCAGTAATGGATGTGATATGAATTTGTATAAAGTTGTCTCACATTCTTGGTCGTATTTTACGTACAGTATGTAATGAGTGTATACATGTCCAGTAAGTCCTCCACCTGTAACATCACTGCCCCTCCACCTGCCATACAGTAGGTTACTAATATACACTAACAAGATTACTTATATAATACAGTGATAGAATACATGTTTAGTATGCTTACTTATATACAACAGTAGTATTACATTTACCTTGTGTTTTCACTCTCACTTTGCCATCATTTCAAAATCAGCTGTGCTGCAACATAATACACAGGTAATAATCAACACTAAATACAATACACTAAAAACACTCACCCATAAGTTACGTTTTTGTTTACTGTTTGGAAGTCTCAAATATGCACTCTAAATTCATATCAATAGCGATGTATCACACAAATAGCTCTCTTCCTTATTATTGTGTAACGTTAACTTTATTATACTAGTTTGTAGGCCTACCCCAAAATGGAGATGTAATTTCTCCACCTCCACTCATTACAATCACACGTGCCCCAATGTTATATTTAACTAATATTATATTCCTCCACCCCACAAAAAAATCACGTTTAGAAGCCCTTTTTCTCTAATTCCACAACGTTGGATGAAATAACATTAGGAGAACGGATTAATAGCTGTTCATGGTTCACGTGTGTTGCTAACTTTATCCGGTATCCTAGCCTAATCTGTTATCTGTAAACGTTCCCTAAATCTACTGATTTAGGGATAATCCACTAACATCCTTTAATACACATGTTCATTTGACTCAGATGTGCTGATAATATCTGCAATATAAATCTTTAAACGTCTTCTTACCTTTAAAAGTCCATCACAAACGGTCTATTATGCTGCAACTCTACTGTGTTGCTGGTCGCAAAAGTTCCCCCGGAAGTCAGCGGCAAGCTAACTTCCGGGGAACTATTAACGGCTGCACGATCCGCCATTGCTGTAAAAAAACTGGTCCATTGGAGTGAACGGAGATGTCATAACTCTTCTATTATACGGCTCTGGTCAGGTCGAACCGGATGACTGCGGGGCCCGCATGTTGCCCCTTTCACACTAACGTGGTTCCAGGGCCAATTCGGAGCTTGAGCCTGATAAGCACCGGTTCTTCCTGTTCATGCCGCAGCGGAGACGGCTCTTTTCCCCGAAAACCGGTTCTTACTAAGCTCGAAAAAAATAAAGATTAACCTGAGCTAACAGTTTATGGAGAGTAGCCTACGGCAAATAAAAGTTGTAACAAGCAGTAACGCTGAGCAAAGTGACTAGAACGCAACCACACACTTTATAAAGTCAGGCAACACTAACCAGGCTTCGTGTGATTCTGTTTATTTGTACCTTACTTTCAGGGCCGTCCCTGGCCAACTTGGGGCCCCAAGCGACATTGTGAGATGAGGCCCCCCCCAACCGACAGGAGTGAAACTTTTTTTTTGGAAACAAAGTACTTTGCAAATATAATTCCTGTTTATTATTATTATTATTATTATTATTATTATCAACACAGTTACTTTTTTATACAGTGAGGTAAATGTGCATGTATGTCGTTCAGTATGTGTTTACAGGTGAATAAGTCTGCATTTCCTGCCAAATACTAGCCTCAAAAAGATTAAAATATAATTAATGCAAATAAACTACTTCTACTAATAATAATAATCATAATCAATTCAATAATATAAATACTATATTATTTTATTATAATATAGTCAAGACAAAACATGCTTATTACATGCTCAGAAACTGATATTTCTTAAAGCAGGATCAACAAATAATCTCCATCGCCACTTAAAAACACAGTATCTAATATTAAGAGTTGCGTGAATTTCATTCAAGGCAAGACAACTTTATTTACTTAACACATACAGAGGGTAAATTCAAAGTAGTACATTCACTGACATGAATAGGCGCGTTCACACCAAGTACTTTTCCCACAGTAGTTCATGAGAACTTTAGTTCATGAGAGCTCTTTTAGTTCTGATGAACTAAAGCAGATCGCGTTCACACCAAAATGAGTTCCTGGGGGTGGATTAGGCAAATGAGCCGCTGACGTCACTTCTTCTTCTTCTGCTTTGGGTTTACTGGCAGGCCGCAAACAACTTCACGGCGAGTACAGTAGGTGGCGGTATGCACCTTAAAGTTGCAATTCGCCAAAAAACAGAGAAGAAGAAGAAAAAAAACTTCCGCTTCCGCTGTATGCTTCTGTTTACCTTCCGACCTCAGACACGGTATGGAGTTGACGTTTTGGTGCTCGTGTTATACAGCTTCGTAACTGAGTTATTTAAGCCAATAACTCAGCCACAAATACAAATACAGATCGACCATTCAAATGCAATAGAAATGCTGAGTCGGAGGCGAAGGCGGTTAAGAAGCCTTAACAAAAGGATTGGACGACGAAAAGCACACGCTATGGACATGTTTCGCCGTAGGACAGCTGAGGATGATGACCGTTATCACGCCCAAAGAACAGCAATGGTACGTTCATTAAATCACATTAATACTATCTAATGTAGGATTTATGGAGTTATGTAGGGCTAATTTGTGTCTTTGTATGTGTTCGAGATATGCGAATACTACGGAACGCGTCGTGTCCCGCGCTCTGTCTGGGTGAACAATAGAACATCGGCCTGGTGGGAGAAGGTGGTGCCAACGTACATCAATGTGCAGTGGATCAAAGATTTCCGAATGTCCAAGGGCTCTTTTCAACTCCTCTGTATTCGCCTGGAAGCAACGTTGGGGAGACGCAACCTAAAAAAATCGCCGCGGGGCAAGACACGCGCTGAAGTAAAAAGATAGGATTCTACACTGTATTGAAGTAAACATGTATTATTTTGAATTGTATTTTAGTGAACATATATTGTTTGAACTGTTTTAGGTAATCACAACGGGATTTGATAATCACTTAGAATAGGAATGTTATTCTCTCTTACAACTCACGGACCCAGGGATCCAGTTTCACACACACACATGTCCTTATCACCCCTAAGAACA